TTGTCTTCCAGAACCCGTGGAGCATATATATTGACAAAAATGGTCTCTCTTATTAAACCATCCCAGTACCTGACAATCGCCAAAAAATGCCCTGATTTAATAACCGTAACTGCTTGAAAAAAAGGATTTATCCTAGAAACTAATCAAACTACCATACCTTCCTGTAGACTCCAAAAAATCAAACCCAACATCATCAGTACCCCACCAGTCTCCAATATCAGATGGAAGCGACGGGAGACAAGATTCTTGCACCCCACAAACCGAAAGTTTAAGCTCACTTTTCAACTTTTTTATCCAGTCAATTTTATACGACTCACTTACCACCCTTATGTTTAGAGACTACAAATTCATGAGGAATCGATGTTTAAACCACCACCATTGACTAAGGAGGCCACACTATCCTGACCAATTTGAAACCCAAAATGATTCCCAATGTCAATATTTTGCTGCAATTCAAAAGAAGAGGATGATATAGAGTGAGTTGGGGAACCTGATTTACTCTTGACATGCTCGGAGGAAGCAAACTTGTCCATAATTGTATCATCTCAAAAAAATTTAGTTTTTAAAAAAATAAACCATAGAAACGAGCTGTTCCAAAACCGATCAAAGTGAATATATTATTTAAACATTAGAGTAAGGATCATCAATTGCCAATGCAGAAAACCATAGGGGATGTTGTGTAGTCACGCCAGGCCCTTCCCTTTCTTACCAGAAGTACCTGAAACCATGAACATAAAACCGTAAGGAGATAGCTTAGTGAGTTCCCCAAAACACCACATACCATACATACAATAGAGGTTGCTATGTGCCATGTATAGCCTTACCACTATGCCATGAGCTATATCATGGTATTTCCTTGCTAGGTCGGGGGCCAAAACCTTAGGTTTGACAGACAAGTGCCAAGAGCCACCTCCTGGTCTTCCATGAAAGTATCACAAAGAAAACTAGCACACCACATATAAGACCAGGGTTCATGCCCTGGTCTTGGATACAATTTTTTGGGAGCCGCCTCTAGGTCTTTCATAAAATTTCTATGGGCCACCCCCTAGTCTTCCTATATAATATAATCTAATGGTTCGATATTGGTGAATTCGACCCCCAAGTATATCGATGAGATTCACCTAAATCACAATGCTAATTAAAACACCACGCAACGCTTCACCGACCATAAACAATATCTCTCCCTGCCAAAATATGGGTGCTAAACACTTGCTAATAATCCACACAAGGCAAACCGTAAGTCTACCTTCCAAAAAAATAGATATTAAACAAAAGTCAACCCATGCCAAAAAGTCAACGGCCAGAGTTGAATTCAGCCAACTGCCACATCGTTACCCTCACCCAGGTAAACATACAAGAAATTCCCAGTCACCATGTCGTGGCGACCTATGGCCACGCGTTGGGCACTAGGTTTCCAGCAACTTAATAGATTAAGATACTTTCTTTGATTTAAGGAGCTGCAAAGCTCAGATCTGGTTCTTATTATGGTCTTAATGGATAAAGTTTCCAACTTTATCCATTAAGACATCCAAAGAGATCAAGATCTCAAACCCTAGGTCCAAATAAATCCAAAATCCATAATTTCATAAGCATCTTAATCTAAAGAAGTCCTTAACCCAACCACTCAAGAAGGGTTTATAACACCAGATCTATCATAAAGATGGAGGCTTTATAGACATGTATGTCCAATACATGCTTAAGATCCATTTTAGGTAAACAATGAGGTCTAAAGACCAAAACTTAAGCAAATGACAAGAACGTCTACAATACTATATCCACAATGTATAATGCTCTTGGAATTCAAGGGAGTCATCAAGTTGCCAACTTTATGAGCTCCTTCCCTCCAAAATTGATCAAACATGAGGAACATGGGATAATATTCAAGATCTAACCACTAAAAGCCATAAAGAAAGGAACTTCGACACTTACAATGGTCCAGAGATGCCTAAAAGAGATCTTTACTTCAGTCAATAAGCACTTGAACCCTTTCCTATACGTTTTTTCTTCTTAAGCAACCAAAGTCACCAAAATTGGCTTACCACACACAATAAGGAATTAGGGTTAGGGTTTCTGAAACTTGAGGATGATGGAGGCTGACAAGGAACCCTAAAAATGACTTAAAGGTGTTTAAATACAAAGGGAACCCTAAAAGAGTAATGGGCTTGGGCCTGAACAACTGCCATGCTGTGGCCTTTCTTGGCTATGTCGTGGCAGTCAAAAAATTATGCGATCAAATATTTATTGCCACGTCATGGCCTTCCTTGGCCATGTCGTGACACAAAGTTTCCTCTAAAAATCCATCTTCAATCCTTCTTACAAGTAATATTAACCAATATAGAACACAGGCGTTACAACTCTCCCCCACTTAACTTAGATTTTGTCCTCGAAATCACTCATCGCCACAAACCTAGCACCCTAAACGATTCGATCAATTCTTCTAGGACACTAATAAAAATCGACTCTAACATACAGTGACCTTCTAATATAATAGTCGAAGCTAACCTTAGCAGGACCCATATATATTGACGATGATCGAAGCCTTGCCCAACTAACCTTAACTAATGAAGAATAACCATCACTACTCAGTTTAAAAGACCTCATTGGATTAAGTAAAAGTGCAAGGATTGTTTGGTTATTTATTGAAAGTTGAAGAAGGAAGGCCCAAAGACCTCATTGTATTAGGTAGAAAAAATCACTTGGGCAAGCCCAAGAGTTTTCATTCAAGCCCCTTGGATAAGGGGAATGGGCTGCTTGGTCACCAAGCAAGGGAATTTAGGGTTTCCTCCTTGAACCCTAGCTTTGGCACCAAGCTACCTTAGCTATATAAAGGCCATACCCTTCAAAATTTCATACACTCCTTCCCTCAAGAAGTCTTGGAAGAATTTTTCTATCCCCTCTCCTCTCTCTATATTCATTTTCTTTGTAGCTTTGGTGTGATTCCATTAGACTCACGACAATTATGGTGCTTGCTTCCAAGAGATCAACAAGAAAGTGTTCATTGTTATTTGCTACAATAACAATCAAGGTATGTAATCCTTAACCCTAATTTGGTATGTTCTAAAAAAAAAGCCTAGTGTTCTTAGGGTTTCGTTGTGATGTTCATAGTTATAGATTCAATAGAGAAAACATAGCTCTTTTTTGGGGTTGCATGCAAACTTAAGAGTTTAATTTTTGTTTGTTTTGCATAAAAACCATCAGTGGTATCAGAGCTTGTCTTATTTTCTATTGAATTTTCTATAATGGTTAAATTGATCAAATTAGGGGTTATGAGAATTAGACCCTTTAGGCCGAGAATTTCGAAATTAGGGTTTCTTGGACCTAAGTTTCAAAAATTGGGTAATGGTTGTAACCCTTACCTTGCCTCCCAGGTAATCGATTTTATGGAAAGGTTTCTTGATTTCTAAGTTTTCGATTTTAAGGTAAGGATTGAAACCCTTACCTTCCTCACCAAGCAAGCCATTTTCGAAAATGGTATATGTGGTTAAGGTTTCCTAATTTTTGTAATTGTTAGTTTATCTAATTAAATATGATAATTATAAAATTAGATAAATCCTACATCCATTTTTTGAAAATTAGGGTGAGGATTAAATTAAATTTTATTAATGCTAGACCCTATAGACATTCGAATACTCTGTCCTACTCTAAGCCCACAACAAGACAAGAAACATGAAATAAAGCTAAACCAAATATTGTTAGGCTATAAGATCTTAATTATGTACAACCGTGATGCATACACTAAGCAACTACAATAATGATATCAATCTAATATATGGAAAACCCTAGGCTATCAGGCATCATATAATTAGGGAATTCTATCATGCAATTCCTGAAGATCCCTAGCCTAGCACTAGCATGGTGCTCTAACATATCACAATATCAAATATATGCACTACTAGAAAAACAGCCTTTTACGACGCTCATTGCGCGTCGTAAAAGGCTCAGACGACGCGCAAATGCGCGTCAAGGAAGGCCCTGTCATAAAGAGAGACGACGCTCATTTACGACGCTCATTTACGACGCGCAATTACGACACGCGTTTACGACACGCAATGCGTATCAAGGAAGGCCCTGTCATAAAGGAAGACGTCACGCATTTGTGTGTCGTAACCTTACGACGCGCATGTTAATGACACGCAATGCGTATCAAGAAAGCCCCTGTCAAGAAAGGCCATGTCATAAATGAACACGACACACATTTTTGCGTATCATAATTTTAAATGTTTAAAAAATATATTATTTATAGATTTACTAGTTTTCAAATTAAATTTGTATTTAATGTGTCATAATAAAAATTAAAATACCATCTAAAAAAAATAAAATCCATTGCATAATATTTAATGTCATACAAATAATAGATGAAAGTACATTGCTATTTCTTCTATTTATCGCTATGTTATTCGATGAAATTTCAATGTGACATTAAAGTAATCTCTCCAATGTGACATAAGAGACAATTTGATTACATACAACTTGAAAAATGTGAGCATCCGACCTCAAAATTTTCTATCTTTGCAAATATCTTGTTACGTACTCCCCATGTGCTAATAACCTACAATTTTCCATAAAACTTACAACTTAAATGAGTATATGATAAGAAACATCTAATGGAATCACAAAAGACAAACTTCACCTCCTTATCTTTATCAGTGAGAGTTGGCAGCTCAAGACATATTTAGGATACATGCAAGGTGAATAACGAACCAGATAGAGTAACAGAATTCTTTATCAAACAAACATCCCCTCCCTTCACCTCATTTACTTGTGTATTAATAAATCAAAATTTGATAATTTGCAAATGATCCGTGGTTATAATTTTTCCTTACCTCCAATTACTTATAAGTTAACAGTTGACTGAAAAAACAAAAACAAATGATTAGACATTATATAAAGTAGAAAGTTATAAGATTGTATATTTGTGCCTTATAAAAAATTGTTTAAAAAGTTATATAGAAGGAAATGTAGCTTATTATTATATATACTTGAAACACCAAGCAAGGAAATTAGGAAACAACATAGCTAAGAAGCTTTACCAGTTCAACTTGACTAGTGATGCGATTCTCAAGCTCTTCCATGACCTTACTTAGCACGGATTCTACAAGCTGCACAAGCAGAATAATATCATAACAAACATGAGAAATTAGTTGTTGTTGTGACAAAAACTTGCAAAACACCAAATTACACTTACCATGGGAACCTCATCAGGTTTCAACCAACCTAATTAGACACTCCACCACCTTCAAATTAAAAATATCGACATTTATTTACTTTTATTCCCTTTCATTTTGCAAATTGAGGAACATTTATTTATTTAAAAAATATTAATAACTTACCGTTTTATACGCTCCAGAAGAGGCTATTAACCGACATCCATCAATCTCCATTGTTATCTGACATAGATTGGAAGCAAGAAGCAAACTGAAGAGAAGGAGCTATAAACAAAAATTATGACATTTATTTAGTCTCCATTTATTTTCTAAACTTAGTAATAAATGAGAAATAAAAAGAGACAAACCTTTGTTCATCTTCACCTTTCAACTAAAACCATATACCCTAACTTAGTAATAAATGAGAAATAAAATGGATGAATACTGAAAATTGTTTGTTGGAATGTAAGGGTAATATATATATGATCATTTAGTTTCATTTAGAAGGTTTATTCAGTCTAGGAATAAAAAGTAGTTTATATATGCAACACTTTATCCAGATATGCAACATTAAGTCACTGTACACATACAGAACCTAAAAAAAGATATACATTTTAATAAAAAAGAAAAGGATAATGAAAAAAGATAAGGAATTAAGAGACTACTCACCTCAAGATATACAACATATACAAATTTTAGCCCTTCTTTGGTTGCAGAAACAAGCTTCTTCCCCTCAAACTCCTTCTACTAACCATCCTGCTTCTGTTTCTCATCTTCACTCTCATCAAGTTTTAGATCTCAATTGCCACTGTTCCACTCCCAGCTGTTGTAAAATGTATCCCATCTCTATCATCATGAACACAATTATCAGACAATATATCAAGTGTTTGTATTTAAAAAGCTATGTAATACGACCTAATAAGTTATGCAACACAAATTTGTTAAAAGTTGGGAGTTAATGGGTACAATCTCATTTTTCTTGCTTTTTTCTATTAAGTTGTTCTTTTTGTATTAAATAATAACAAAATACCCATATATTAGGTCATGTTCCTATGAAGTCCATAAGATAACAAAAGAAGTAGCAACATACTTGTCTAAAAATACACTAATAAATGAAATGATAAACTACAATTTAGGAACAAATAAAGCATATATACTTATAGAAAGCTGGTTGTCAACCAGTCAGGTCGTTGTTGAAGTGAACCAAGAGCATGTATCCACTGTTGTTCCAGCATGCATATAAGGATCTTTCACAGGTAGTAGACTTGAACAAGCTATAATATAATATCACTTAAGCAACAATCCCTTGTTCACCAAACTTGGTTGCACTTCCATGACTCAAATGTTGACACAACTGATTTATACATATCCAAGATCAAGTCATTGGCCTTATCTCCAATGGCATTAATAGCAACCTGATGAAAAATTGCTCAACTAGTAAGTTATTTTACATATTTACAACCACATTTTTAAAGATAAATGAAAAAAAAATTAAAAAAAAAAACCCGGAGGCCATATTTATCGGATTGAACAGTCATGTTAGATAAGCTTCCCATATCTGTAACTTGGAGGCCAATATTCCAAGGCTCATCAACATATGGCTACAAGAAACATGAAAGAAATGTTGTCATATAAATAATATTGATTTAATAAGATTAAGTTAGAAAACAAAGAAAAAAATAAAATTTATTTACACCTTGTGTTAAAGTGCACTGTTAGATCCTAAGGATCCATCAAAAAAGGCTTTAACACCACCTAAGAATATCCACTAGCTCAACCTACGTCTTGTTTTTTGTATTATATCCTAAAAAGAAAACAAGAACATCAAATTTAATGTTAACATTTAATTCATTAGAAAACATAAACATAGAAAAATTATCATGAAGTAGTCAGTAGTCAAGTAAAGTCATACAAGCAAACGTGACCATGTTGGCATTGGAAAGAAAAGGCAAACCCTAATCATCATTCTTCCTCATAAATCAAACCATTTGTAAACATATGAAATTCACAATAAAGTCAACACTTTATAAACATCTGAAATTAACAAGAAAGTCATCATTCTTCCTAATAAATCAGCCCATTTGTAAACATCTGACTGGATAAATTTGATCATCTAAAAATAGGAAAAAACTGTTTAAAACAAATCATTTCAACATCATGCTGCAAAACCAGGATATAACTTTATAAACCTACCTCGATAGAAACATAAAGAGAAATTGGAATATTTGGCAAATACAGTGTAATAAGGGCAAAGATACTTAAAATAAAAACCTGAAAGAAATATACCATAACTAGTAAAGGTAAATACAAAAAAAGAAACATCACACATAATTCCTCTCACATCAGCAAGCAAAACAATACCACAAATCTGTTGCTTGGATTGAACTGTTGGGAGTCACCATTAACCCAAAGCATTAAGTAGTGATACTTGTTGTTTACAAATACAGCACTACAAAGTTTTGTGGAGAAAATTATTACAAGCAAGAAAAATAAAAAATAAATAAATAAATAAATAACAAAAATTAGTCACTTACCTGCCTATGGCCCTAATTAAACACAAGGAGAGAAGAACACCAAAATGTGTAGCTATTACTTTGTCAAGTTTCCTCTCCAGTGTACTCCTCTTGGAATGAACATTCATGGAATTCATCATTACCTGGCATTAAAAGTAGATTCTTAATATGAAAGAGTAGGGGTAATAATGGAAATTTGAACCTAGAGAAAGATTCAAAACCTCTGTCTCGTGTCCAGTAAATATTACAGTTCCAACAATGTACTCTTTGTTACGTAGACTGCATCCCTGTAATGCAATAAATAAAAATAAGAATAATTGGAAAACAAAATACATAAATATTCGATCTCAAAAAAAAGATGTAAACCTTTAATTTCTGAGGCTTTCTCAAGAGTTAAATAATCTCATGTCTTCTCCAAAGCTTTACTGATCTTAAGATTTGTTTCACAATCAAGATTGTGAAACAAATCTTTATGTATCAGGCTGCAAATCTTGATTGTGAAACAAATCTTAAGATCAGTAAAGCTTTGGAGAAGACATGAGATTATTTAACTCTTGAGAAAGCCTCAGAAATTAAAGGTTTACATCTTTTTTTTGAGATCGAATATTTATGTATTTTGTTTTCCAATTATTCTTATTTTTATTTATTGCATTGCAGGGATGCAGTCTACGTAACAAAGAGTACATTGTTGGAACTGTAATATTTACTGGACACGAGACAGAGGTTTTGAATCTTTCTCTAGGTTCAAATTTCCATTATTACCCCTACTCTTTCATATTAAGAATCTACTTTTAATGCCAGGTAATGATGAATTCCATGAATGTTCATTCCAAGAGGAGTACACTGGAGAGGAAACTTGACAAAGTAATAGCTACACATTTTGGTGTTCTTCTCTCCTTGTGTTTAATTAGGGCCATAGGCAGGTAAGTGACTAATTTTTGTTATTTATTTATTTTTTTTTTTTATTTTTCTTGCTTGTAATAATTTTCTCCACAAAACTTTGTAGTGCTGTATTTGTAAACAACAAGTATCACTACTTAATGCTTTGGGTTAATGGTGACTCCCAACAGTTCAATCCAAGCAACAGATTTGTGGTATTGTTTTGCTTGCTGATGTGAGAGGAATTATGTGTGATGTTTCTTTTTTTGTATTTACCTTTACTAGTTATGGTATATTTCTTTCAGGTTTTTATTTTAAGTATCTTTGCCCTTATTACACTGTATTTGCCAAATATTCCAATTTCTCTTTATGTTTCTATCGAGGTAGGTTTATAAAGTTATATCCTGGTTTTGCAGCATGATGTTGAAATGATTTGTTTTAAACAGTTTTTTCCTATTTTTAGATGATCAAATTTATCCAGTCAGATGTTTACAAATGGGCTGATTTATTAGGAAGAATGATGACTTTCTTGTTAATTTCAGATGTTTATAAAGTGTTGACTTTATTGTGAATTTCATATGTTTACGAATGGTTTGATTTATGAGGAAGAATGATGATTAGGGTTTGCCTTTTCTTTCCAATGCCAACATGGTCACGTTTGCTTGTATGACTTTACTTGACTACTGACTACTTCATGATAATTTTTCTATGTTTATGTTTTCTAATGAATTAAATGTTAACATTAAATTTGATGTTCTTGTTTTCTTTTTAGGATATAATACAAAAAACAAGACGTAGGTTGAGCTAGTGGATATTCTTAGGTTGTGTTAAAGCCTTTTTTGATGGATCCTTAGGATCTAACAGTGCACTTTAACACAAGGTGTAAATAAATTTTATTTTTTTCTTTGTTTTCTAACTTAATCTTATTAAATCAATATTATTTATATGACAACATTTCTTTCATGTTTCTTGTAGCCATATGTTGATGAGCCTTGGAATATTGGCCTCCAAGTTACAGATATGGGAAGCTTATCTAACATGACTGTTCAATCCGATAAATATGGCCTCCGGGTTTTTTTTTTTTTAATTTTTTTTCATTTATCTTTAAAAATGTGGTTGTAAATATGTAAAATAACTTACTAGTTGAGCAATTTTTCATCAGGTTGCTATTAATGCCATTGGAGATAAGGCCAATGACATGATCTTGGATATGTATAAATCAGTTGTGTCAACATTTGAGTCATGGAAGTGCAACCAAGTTTGGTGAACAAGGGATTGTTGCTTAAGTGATATTATATTATAGCTTGTTCAAGTCTACTACCTGTGAAAGATCCTTATATGCATGCTGGAACAACAGTGGATACATGCTCTTGGTTCACTTCAACAACGACCTGACTAGTTGACAACCAGCTTTCTATAAGTATATATGCTTTATTTGTTCCTAAATTGTAGTTTATCATTTCATTTATTAGTGTATGTTTAGACAAGTATGTTGCTACTTCTTTTGTTATCTTATGGACTTCATAGGAACATGACCTAATATATGGGTATTTTGTTATTATTTAATACAAAAAGAACAACTTAATAGAAAAAAGCAAGAAAAATGAGATTGTACCCATTAACTCCCAACTTTTAACAAATTTGTGTTGCATAACTTATTAGGTCGTATTACATAGCTTTTTAAATACAAACACTTGATATATTGTCTGATAATTGTGTTCATGATGATAGAGATGGGATACAGTTTACAGCAGCTGGGAGTGGAACAGTGGCAATTGAGATCTAAAACTTGATGAGAGTGAAGATGAGAAACAGAAGCAGGATGGTCAGTAGAAGGAGTTTGAGGGGAAGAAGCTTGTTTCTGCAACCAAAGAAGGGCTAAAATTTGTATATGTTGTATATCTTGAGGTGAGTAGTCTCTTAATTCCTTATCTTTTTTCATTGTCCTTTTTTTTTATTAAAATGTATATCTTTTTTTAGGTTCTGTATGTGTACAGTGACTTAATGTTGCATATCTGGATAAAGTGTTGCATATATAAACTACTTTTTATTCCTAGACTGAATAAACCTTCTAAATGAAACTAAATGATCATATATATTACCCTTACATTCCAACAAACAATTTTCAGTATTCATCCATTTTATTTCTCATTTATTACTAAGTTAGGGTATATGGTTTTAGTTGAAAGGTGAAGATGAACAAAGGTTTGTCTCTTTTTATTTCTCATTTATTACTAAGTTTAGTAAATAAATGTCATAATTTTTGTTTATAGCTCCTTCTCTTCAGTTTGCTTCTTGCTTCCAATCTATGTCAGATAACAATGGAGATTGATGGATGTCGGTTAATAGCCTCTTCTAGAGCGTATAAAGCAGTAAGTTATTAATATTTTTTAAATAAATAAATGTTCCTCAATTTGCAAAATAAAAGGAAATAAAAGTAAATAAATGTTGATATTTTTAATTTGAAGGTGGTGGAGTGTCTAATTAGGTTGGTTGAAACCTGATGAGGTTCCCATGGTAAGTGTAATTTGGTGTTTTGCAAGTTTTTGTCACAACAACAACTAATTTCTCATGTTTGTTATGATATTATTCTGCTTGTGCAGCTTGTAGAATCCGTGCTAAGTAAGGTCATGGAAGAGCTTGAGAATCGCATCACTAGTCAAGTTGAACTGGTAAAGCTTCTTAGCTATGTTGTTTCCTAATTTCCTTGCTTGGTGTTTCAAGTATATATAATAATAAGCTACATTTCCTTGTATATAACTTTTTAAACAATTTTTTATAAGGCACAAATATACAATCTAATAACTTTCTACTTTATATAATGTCTAATCATTTGTTTTTTTTTGAGTCAACTGTTAACTTATAAGTAATTGGAGGTAAGGAAAAATTATAACCACGGATCATTTGCAAATTATCAAATTTTGATTTATTAATACACAGGTAAATGAGGTGAAGGGAGAGGATGTTTGTTTGATAAAGAATTCTGTTACTCTATCTGGTTCGTTATTCACCTTGCATGTATCCTAAATATGTATTGAGCTGCCAACTCTCACTGATAAAGATAAGGAGGTGAAGTTTGTCTTTTGTGATTCCATTAGATGTTTCTTATCATATACTCATTTAAGTTGTAAGTTTTATGGAAAATTGTAGGTTATTAGCACATGGGGAGTGCGTAACAAGATTTTTGCAAAGATAGAAAATTTTGAGGTCGGATGCTCACATTTTTCAAGTTGTATGTAATCAAATTGTCTCTTATGTCACATTGGAGAGATTACTTTAATGTCACATTGAAATTTCATCGAATAACATAGCGATAAATAGAAGAAATAGATATGTACTTTCATCTATTATTTGTATGACATTAAATATTATGCAATGGATTTTATTTTTTTGTATATGGTATTTTAATTTTTATTATGACACATTAAATACAAATTTAATTGGAAAACTAGTAAATCTATAAATAATATATTTTTTAAACATTTAAAATTATGATACGCAAAAATGTGTGTCGTCTTCATTTATGACATGGCCTTTCTTGACAGGGGCTTTCTTGATACGCATTGCGTGTCATTAACATGCGAGTCGTAAGGTTACGACACACAAATGCGTGATGTCTTCCTTTATGACAGGGCCTTCCTTGATACGCATTGCGTGTCGTAAACGCGTGTCGTAATTGCGCGTCGTAAATGAGCGTCGTCTCTCTTTATGACAGGGCCTTCCTTGACGTGCATTTGCGCGTCGTCTGAGCCTTTTACGACGCGCAATGAGCGTCGTAAAAGGCTGTTTTTCTAGTAGTGCATATATTTGATATTGTGATATGTTAGAGCACCATGCTAGTGCTAGGCTAGGGATCTTCAGGAATTGCATGATAGAATTCCCTAATTATATGATGCCTGATAGCCTAGGGTTTTCCATATATTAGATGGATATCACTATTGTAGTTGCTTAGTGTATGCATCACGGTTGTACATAATTAAGATCTTATAGCCTAACAATATTTGGTTTAGCTTTATTTCATGTTCCTTGTCTTGTTGTAGGCGTAGAGTAGGACAGAGTATTTGAATGTCTATAGGGTTTAGCATTAATCAAATTTAAATTAATCCTCACCCTAATTTTCAAAAAATGGATGTAGGATTTATCTAATTTTATAATTATCATATTTAATTAGATAAACTAACAATTACAAAAATTAGGAAACCTTAACCACATATACCATTTTCGAAAATGGCTTGCTTGGTGAGGAAGGTAAGGGTTTCAATCCTTACCTTAAAATCGAAAACTTAAAAATCAAGAAACCTTGCCATAAATTCGATTACCTGGGAGGCAAGGTAAGGGTTACAACCATTACCCAATTTTCGAAACTTAGGTCCAAGAAACCCTAATTTCGAAATTCTCGGCCTAAAGGGTCTAATTCTCATAACCCCTAATTTGATCAATTTAACCATTATAGAAAATTCAATAGAAAACAAGCCAAGCTCTGATACCACTGATGGTTTTTATGCAAAACAAACAAAAATTAAACTCTTAAGTTTGCATGCAACCCCAAAAAAGAGCTATGTTTTCTCTATTGAATCTATAACTATGAACATCAAAAAGATTAGAAAGGGTTCCAAACCCATGCATGAAGATTAGAACTTTGTGACAACAGTGGGCTAAAGGAGTATAGATCTTAGGTTGCAACCTCAGATTTAGCCCCAAATTTGGAAATACTATAACAATACACTAGAAAGGGTTCCAAACCCATGCATGAAGAGATCTAGCTAAGGGAGAGCCAAGGTAACGACTTGTTACCTTCAAAGTGATGCTAAGATGGAGTAGAATTTGGATCTATAACTTCTCCTTTCTCCAAGCTTCTTGGACTTCAATCTCTTCTCACCAAAATCCACCTTTCAAGCTTAATAATACACAAATATGGAGAGTAAATACGATTAAGGGTTTCTGAGATCAAGGGGTTTGTAAGGGAGGTGAATGGAGGATAATGACCCTTTAAATAGGGTGTAAAACCCTAGAAATTAGGGTTTCATCCTCTAGCTCCAAGTTGTCGAGTTGCATCCTCAAACTCGTTGAGTTGGTAATTTAAGACACACAGCCAAGTTCATTCCTACTCGACAAGTCATGGCATCCAAATCGTTGAGTAGACCTTTTAAAAAAAATGAATATAACGCAAAAAAGTTTATACCTGAGATTCAGGGTGTTACAATTCTATTCGACTTGAGCTAGACTTCATCCTCGAAGTCCGCTGCGGTGAACAACTCCGGGTAACACTCCCGCATCTCAGCCTCCGGCTCCTAAGTCCACTCAGATCCCCTCTGGTACTCCCGTTGTACCTTTACCAAAGGCACTTCCTTGTTCTGTATAACCTTCACTTTCCTCTCCAGAACGACCATTGGCCTCTCTACGTAATTTAGGCGCTCATCGACCTGTATGTCATCCAATGACACCACAGCGTGCTCATCTAATACATGTACACTTCGAAACCATAACACATGGAAAGTGTTGTGGATCTGCCTAAGTTCCTTTGGTATCTCTAGTCTATATGCCACCTTGCCAACCCTGACAATGATCCTGAATGGCCTGATGTATTAGGACCCAATTTTTCCCTCTTCTTGAAGTGGATCATACGCTTCTAGGGAAAGACCTTCAGGAGTACCATGCCACCGACCTGAAGCTCCAACTCAGATCGGAACCTATCAGAGTAACTCTTCTGCCGACTCTGTGCGGTCTGCAATCGCTATCTGATCTGCTGAATCCCATCAGTAGTCTGCAGAACCACCTCAGTCCGACCCATCACACTGTGACCGACCTACCCCCAACAAAATGTGGTTCGATATCTCCATCCATACAACAACTCATAAGGCGGAGTGCCAATGCTGGAATGAAAGCTGTTGTAGGAGAATTCTATAAGTGGTAGGTAGGAGTCCCAGCTCCCACCGAAGTCAATAGTGCAGACCCTGAACATATCCTCGAGAGTTTGTATGGTTCACTTACTCTAGCCATCTGTCTGTGGATGGTAGGCTATACTAGAGTGCAGTAGAGTGCGCAGTTCCTCGTGGAACTTCTGCCAAAAATGAGAGGTGAACCGAACATCATGATTTAAAACAATAGAGACCGGCACTCTATGGCGGGCAACGATCTTGCAGATATATAAGTTGGCCAACTTCTCATCTGATGAACTCTCCCATGTCGCTAAAAAGTTGCGCTCTTAGTCAATCGATCGTCGATTACCCAAATAGCATCGAAGCCCATCGCCGTCCTTAGAAGCTTAGTGATGAAATCCATTGTGATCTGTTCCCACTTCCACATGGGAATTTCCAAGGGCTGTTGCTGACCATGCGGCCTCTGATGCTCGACTTTGACCATCTGACATGTCAAGCACCTCTCAATATACCATGCAATCTCCCTCTTCATGTCTGGCCACCAATAACTCAAATGCAAATCCCGATACATTTTGGTGGCACTGGGTGATTAGACAAGCAAGACTTATGAGCCTCCTCCAATACAGTGTGTCTGACCCCCCACCAGACATTGGGACCCAAACTCGATCATAGCGAGTTAATAGCCGCCAGTTATCCTGCACGAACCGGGTGGTCTCACCCCTAATCTTTTCAAGATTCCAATTCTCCTGAAGCATACCCTCCACTTGAGCTTCTCTGATCAAACTCACAAGTGGAGAATCCACCAAAATCCTCAAACATGTCAATGGAGTCAAAGGTCCAGCTGAATTGTGCCTTAGAGCATCCGCAACCACGTTCGCTTTACCTGGGTGGTATAGGATCTCATACTCGTATTCCTTTACTACATCCAGCCACCTGTGCTGTCTCATGTTGAGGTTCAGCTGATCCATGATGTATCTTAGGCTCTTATGATTTGTGTATATGGTATAGCGGACCCCGTATAGGTATTGTCTCCAAATCTTGAGAGCGAAGACCACCGCTCCCAACTGCAAATCATGAGTAAGGTATCTCGTCTTGTGCGACTTCAGTTGTCGTGATGCGTAGGCTATCACACATCCTCTCTACATGAGGACCGCTTCGATCCCTGTGATGGATGCATTACAGAACACCACAAAATCCTCAACTCCCTTTGGGAGAGTCAAAAGTGGAACCTTGCAAAGTCGTTGTCGAAGGGTCTCAAATGCCCTCTATTGCTCAGTAAATCCACCCCTACCTCGTCAAACGAGTGAGGGGTACTGTAATCTTGGAGAAATCATGTATGAATCTCTGGTAGTACCCTGCAAAACCAAAAAAGCTCATGATATCCGACGGAGATTTTGGGTCCTCCCACTGTATAACTGCCTTGATTTTGGCCGAATCGACCAAAATCCCCTCCTGGTTAACGAGGTGTCCAAGGAACAGAACCTCTCGTAACCAAAACTCACACTTCGAGAACTTGGCATATCACCGTTCTTGCCTCAAAAATCCCAATAACTCCTGTAGATGGTCCACATGCTGCTCTCGGGTCTTGGAGTATACCATGATATCGTCTATGAATACGATGATCGAGCGATCAAGCATCGTTTTGCAGACCTGATTCATCTGGTCCATAAATACTACAGGCGTGTTAATGAGCCCAAATGGCATCGACATGAAAAAGTAATGTCCATGAAGAGTCTGGAACACGGTCTTTTCCACGTCTTCCTCCCTAAACTTGACCTGATAGTACCCGGACCTCAGGTCTATCTTGTAGAACCAAGATGCCC